ATTGTGCGCAACCGATGGCGCATATCATCCAACTCGCGCTGGAGAGTAGACAAAGCTTCAGGGTCTGCTGCCTGGTTGGCCCTTTGGGAGGTTTTCCTCGACGTCCCTCCTCGGCCTCTGTTGGCTTTTAAGGGTTTCGGGTGAGCAGGTCGTAGCTCTTGGTTCGCATGGCAGGCAGATCTGCGCGGCAGATCTCCCTCTTGCCCTGCTCGGACCTGATCCTCGACTATTCTTGCACCGAGGTCTCGCTGAGGGCCGTTATCAGCATTCACGCCCCTTTGTTCTGTCGTATTGGCAGAGTTTGCTGGATGCACCATCTTTGCGTATATATATTTTTTTTAGATCGGGATGACTTAAGATGTCTATTCCCACAGACGGCGCCAAATGTTTATGCAGGAATTTGCACAACGGTTCTTCACGAATTGAACTCGAACCCGGTCTTCGGTTCCGACCTGAACACTAGAGTGGACTTGCACAAGGGGGTAAGCACTCCGACGCTCAAGTCAGTATAGATCGGACTCCTTATTTAGTTCGAGGTGAGATTCGATATCTGAGCGTGAAATGAAGCCCTCTATTTATAGTTGACGGATCCGACAGTACACACGACCGGCGGTTATGTGTCCTTTTCTCATATCGGACCTGTCGGGTTCCGAGCAGATCGGACCCTAGTTAGGTCGAACCTTGGTGCTCATACTTGGTCTTTTATCACGGGCGAACCCGGCCACCTCGGCTCTGCCGAGGTGGACCTAAGCAATCCTTCTTTATTTAGTTTCTTTAAACACCAATAAGGGTCCTCCACGTGTCTTGGGTACGTTTACCCCCAAACAAAATAAAATTACAAATTCTTCTTGCAATTGAATACAGATTGTCATCAAATAACATCTTGTTTATCAAAAGTCAATTCAATTTCAAGGAGCACCAATCTAAGCGTAATTCAATTGGTTAAAGTACCTGGCTCCATATTAAAATTATGCGAGTTCTAATTCCTACCCTCATATGTCAAAATAAAATAATAAAAAAAACCTCAAATAACATATGTGGACATTAGATAAGTTTTTTTTCCTATCGTCCATCTTAAAAATTAGATTAAATTATTAAGACCCCTTTCATAACCATTTTTATTTTTAGTGCTTGGTTTTTCTTTTTATCTTTTCTGTTTGATAAGTGTTTTTTATTTTTTGTTTTTAAAAAACATAAAACCATGGTAACCATTTTTAATTTTGTGTTTTTAAAAAGTTACAAGTCTCTTGTCTCCGCTCCCTTTTTCGGTTCCAAAATTAATTTACAGGTTAAATAATCATTATTTGGAGATGAGACATTCTTGGGAAAAATTGCCGTTTTTATAATTATTTATAATTATTCTTAGAATTTAAAAGATTAAATAAGTGTAATAAATATATATTAATAATTTTTTAAATTATTATTTAATAGTATAAATAATTAATTTTTAAAAAATTAATATTTTAATAACAATTTAATAAATGTCCGTAGACCATAAATTTTTGGTCAATTATAAATGGCCACGGCAATATTGACAAAACTATATTTTATTAAACTTGGGGCAATTCTAAATTATTCAGTTTATTAAATTTGGGGGCAGTTATAAATTCTAATTTAAAATTAAAGACAAAAAATGGCAAGTGTCTTTCAGTCGCTGCTTTTGATTCGATTTAATTAGTCGAATTGCGTCATACAAAATTGAGCTTAAAATCAAGGAAAATTTAAGTGGATGGCTAAATTTTGGCACCCACTTCAAAAAATAGTCATTAGTTTTAAATTTTGCACAAATGACTAAAAGACATTTTAGGAGTTTTACAAGATATGATGATTTTCCAACAGTACACTTTTCCATGGTTTTTTGGGTTTTTCTTATATTCAACCACCTAACAACCTTGCTTTGAATTCAAATTGTTTTTACTAAATTAAAGCGATTTTAAATTAATCATTTTAATTATTTTGTTTTGAATTTCAGTTATTTTAAATGATTTGTCATAGTTCTACTATCTCACATCTCATTGTTCTGCTGTATCTTCTTCTAAGTCCCCCATTCTCCCTTTGCAACAATAGATTATGTGGACTTATTTGAGTGCATATCATTATCAAATTAAGTTTTTAAATATTCTTTCGACGTTGATTTATTTCTTTTTTCTTCATCTATAGACTCATCATTCACCCTTTCATTCTCATCAAACTTTCTTTCATCCTTTTAAACATTTGATGAATTATTAAAAATCGAATGTCCATAAATGTATATATCATTACGCAACTCAATTATCAAAATTAGAAGGTCGATAAATGTATATACCAATGGAAGAATTATTAAATTTGGAAATACATGTATATATCACTATACAACTTAATTACTAAAATTAGAAGGTCAATACATGTAAATACCAATTCAAGAATTATCAAAACTAGGATGTCAATACATGTAAATATCATAATGCAACTCTGTTAAGAAACCCTTGAGAGTTGGATCTAAGAACTTTGCTAACGAACAAGACCCATAGAACTCAATCCCAAAAACCCCAAAAACAAGTATGGAATCAACCCAAGGAAAGGTTTAAGAACGGATTATCTTGATATTGATTATCGAGGTAATCGGTTCTTAAACTTTTCCTTGATGATCAATATCAAGAGTAGAGAAAACTCGTTTCTAAACTCATGATTCGAATCACTCCACAAGAGGTATGATCAACACCACTTGAATGATTCTAACATACAAATTCTAAAGACACAACAAATTGAACAAAATATGGGAGATAAAGCTCTCAACCAAGCTAATGAGAAAACTCACTTTCATTAAACTTCAAATTGTGTTTACAACAAGACATCTCAAGGTTATATATAGCCATCCTAGCAAGCCATATGAAAAGTCTTAACCAAATGAAAAGACTTGTAACTTACAAGAAATGAAAAGACTTGTAACTTACAAGAAATGAAAAGACTTGTAAATGAAAAGACATAACTTACAAGAAATGAAAAGACATAACTTCAATAAATGGAAAGACAAGCAAATGAAAAGGTTAAGAACATCGAGATTTTAACAAAATAAATTGCAATCCCGTCCATAATGAAGAATGTGAGTGTTTGACTTGGTTTTTGAATTGAATGAGTTGACTTTGACTTGTTTTGATGGAGCTGACTTTGACCTTGACCAAGTTGACTTTGACTTGCCTAAAAAATACTTAAAAATGCATAACTTGCACCAAATTGAAATGCATAGTTCCAACTTCTTGCACATCTTCCTTTATTTCTCTTGTCGAGTTCAAGAACGCTTAGACACGAAGTAACAAACCTTGTTGAAGTTTCCTAGCTCTCGATCTTATAATCGGTCCATGAGGCATAACAAAGGGAGCTCCTTGGTTCATATCATCCTCCCCATCTTCAGAAGGATTCGTCCTCGAATCGAATTCATCACCTACATCAAAAGGAGACAAATCAGAAATATTAAAGGTAGCACTCACCCCATACTTACCTGGCAAATCAATCTTATAAGCATTATCATTGATCAGTTGAAGGACTTGAAAAGGATCATCGCCTCGTAGTAGCAACTTAGACCTTCGTTGAGTTGGAAACCGTTCCTTTCGAAAATGTACCCAAACCCAATCCCCTGGTTGGAAAACAATGAGCTTGCGTCGTTTATTGATGCGAGAAGCAACCTTAGTGTTTTGTTTCTCAATCCTTTCATTTACTTCTTTATGTAGCTTATGGACAAGATCAACCTTTGTGCTAGCATCATAACTCACAAATTCATTAGGAGGCATAGGCAATAAATCAAGTGGAGTGATAGGATTGAAACCATATACAATTGCAAACGGTGTGTATTTGGTAGTACTATGGACAGCCCTATTATATGCAAATTAAATTAATGGCAAACAAATCCTCCCAAGTTTTAAGATTTTTATCTATGATTGCTCGAAGCATGGTAACCATTGTCCTATTTACTACCTCAGTTTGTCCATCGGTTTGTGGATGACAAGTAGTAGAATAAACAAGTTTGGTTCCCAACTTTCCCCATAACGCACGCCAAAAATAACTTAAAAATTTGACATCTCGATCACTGACAATAGTTCTAGGAATGCCATACAAATGAACAACTTCCCTAAAGAACAAATCAGCAATCAATTTAGCATCATCAGTTTTATGGCATGCTATGAAATGCGTCATCTTGCTAAACCTATCAACCACTACAAATATATTATCCCTACCCTTCCGAGTTCGTGGTAAACCAAGGATAAAATCCATAGAAATATCAACCCAAGGAGTAGTAGGAACAGGGAAAGGGGAATATAAACCATGTGGTTGTAATCTAGACTTAGCTTGTTTACATGCAATACAATGCTTACACACTTTATGCATATCATGCTTCATCTTAGGCCAATAAAAATGTTCAGCAAGCATATCACAAGTGTTAGAAACACCAAAATGAGCCATTAAACCACCCCCATGAGCTTCCTTTACAAGCAATTCACAAACTGAACAAAATGGAATGCAAAGTTTTCGAAACAAAAATCCTTCAAACAACATGTAATCATCCACAACAAGTCCTTCACACGATTCAACAAAAGGAGCAACTAACATATCATCTGGATACAAGGACTTAAGATGTTCAAATCCTAAAATCTTAGCATTCAAAGTATTAAAGAGAGCATACCTTCGTGATAAAGCATCTGCAACAATGTTCTCCTAACGTTGTTTATACTTAATCACATATGGAAATGTCTCTATAAACTTCAACCACTTGGCATGTTTGCGATTCAGTTTGCTTTGCCCTCTCAAGTGCTTTAGGCTGTCATGATCCGTATGAATGATGAACTCCTTTGGCCAAAGATAATGCTGCCAAGTTTGCAAAGCTCGTACCAAAGCATAAAGTTCTTTGTCGTATGTTGGGTACCACAAAAAACCACCACTCAACTTTTCACTAAAGAACATTAGTGGCTTATGATTTTGCATTAGTACAGCCCCAATTCCAATCCCACTTGCATCACATTCAATTTCAAAAGTCAAATCAAAGTTTGACACAGCAAGTAGAAGAGCATTGCACAACTTATCCTTCAAAACATTAAAAGCATGCTCTTGGGATGTATCCCAAACAAACGGAACATTTTTCTTTACCAATTCATTTAGAGGTGAAGCTAGGGTGCTAAAGTCCTTAATAAAACGCCTATAAAAACTAGCTAGCCCATGAAAACTTCAAACGTTCCCAACATTCTTAGGAGTTGGCCATTCGCTAATAGCCTTAACTTTCTCACTATCCACCTCAATTCCTCGACTAGACACTATGAAACCAAGAAAATTAACCCTTCCTATGCAA